AGGAAGGAGCATGTTCTTTCAGTGGGGGCGGAAGGGACAAGGGGGCAGAGCGTGAGGCCAGGCAAAGCCCAGCAGCACTGGAGAGGACTTTCATCAGCTCTCCTTCAGAGCCCAATTTTCGAGCCGGCCGTCAGTGCGGCAGGCACGGTGGGTGCCTGCAATTAAGCGCACCTGCTTTTTAGAGGTGACAATTCACTTTGATTTTCTTTGGTGTTTTCAAGCGCGGCAAGAGACTGAAAATAACTAGCAGATAACTGGGAGGCCTGTTTTGAAAAAACCAGGCCCTTAATAAAAATATATACGATGAAGGCTAGACGGCATCTCTGCGTTTAACTGGTAGACGTTTCCTTCTTAGACATGTTTATAATTAAAGGCTTTTTAGAGGTGACAATTCACTTTGATTTTCTTTGGTGTTTTCAAGCGCGGCAAGAGACTGAAAATAACTAGCAGATAACTGGGAGGCCTGTTTTGAAAAAACCAGGCCCTTAATAAAAATATATACGATGAAGGCTAGACGGCATCTCTGCGTTTAACTGGTAGACGTTTCCTTCTTAGACATGTTTATAATTAAAGTCATCTAAGCTCTGCCAATTTTCATCATTTAGCTTATCAGAGCTGTCTGTCGTTTAGCTGCCTTCACGCAGACCAACCGGCAGAAGGAATCCCGAGAAGCTGGGAGGAAAGCGCCGAGACAACACGCAAACACCCTCGCGCCGTCTCCTCACGTTCAAGCCTTGCTGGCCCTGGCGAGTGCTAGCGCGCGGGAGGGCATGCCCGCGTTTGACGGACTCGCCTACCTGAAGGAGGTTTTAGAAACACTACGTATGCGCTCAATAGCTAGGGTTTCAGGCCAATTCGGTGGAGAGGGGTGACAAGACTTGTAATTACGCTTTGCAAGCCAGGGCTGCTTCCTCCAGGAAAGCGGAGCTCCTCAGGGCAGCAGGAGGAAGCTTGCACACGGCGAGGGGTACAGCTCTCTCCCCTTTATGCCGAAATTACTGCTTGCTGCCGGAGAGGCATGGGGGAAGCAACGCCGGGGCCCGGCCACGGGTAGGTGTCGCAGGGCTGCCGGAGGGTTAAACAGGCTGGGTAAAGGCAGCACGTGGCGACTGCAGGGCAACGGAGGTGACTCCCTCCTCCAGCTAGCAGGAGGTGGTGCCACCAAGGAGGTGGCTGTCCTACCACGAGTAGCACATTCACCCTCCGCTACCCAGCTGGCCAAAACCCGAGCGACACCAGAGTCCAGATTTTGGCCTGCAAGGGGCATCTGCCGCCAGGGGCAGGAGGAGCAGGGTGCTGAGCGCCGGGTGCTGCTCGGCACGCATGTGGCCGGGGCAGCCAAAGCAGCTCCACCTGCAGCCCCAGCATCCTGGGCAAGACAGCGCTTGTTTTATTTATTTGTATGTTCTTACAAGGATTTAGCTCAGTTTGAGAGCGTGGTGGCACAGGTGGGAAAGAGGTAGATGAGTTCGAAATGGAGCCTTAACATCTATAAAGTTTAGTGATTAAAAAAAAAAAAAAATCTCACCCCACTGCTTCCCTCCCTGACATCAGTCCTGCAGAAACCAGTTCTGAAGAAACTACAGTGCCGGGACATTATTCCGTCTTATGGATGTTAATAATATGCACCCAATCTGTGCTTCATCCTAATCATCCGGTGTTTAATATGAGGATGCGTCTTTGGCCCAGCGTGCCGGAGCGACAGTCAAGCACTGCTCCGCGTTCTCTAATCCATCCCAAAGGACCTGCCCCGTAAGGTGCTTGTTTCTCCTTCACTGCTAAGCTGCTGCCCCTCTTCTGTGCCTGTAGCGTGTTCAGTAAGGAGATGGTTTAACTCAGTTTCTTAATTAACCTGAGCAAAGCTGTGTTTCCACCGTTCCCTTTCTAGGCAATTAAAGAAGGCAGCACAGGACGGAGGAACTGTTCGTGCGTGACCCAAGTGACAAGCACACTAATGAATTTAACGTATAGCACAGAGAAATTTCCTTGCCACGGTATCCAGGTGGGCTTTCGCTATTAGTAAGCAATAAACACAGCAGTCATAACTCGGCCTGTTAGAGCTCCCTGAGAAATCCTAAGGTGAAACAAAAAGCAGCTCTCTCTCCTGCACAACTTCAGTTCGGAGCAGCCTCACCATAAAGCCAACGGCAGCGAGACCTAGCGCCAGGGACGGCCCCTGGAAAGCGCCTGGGGCGCCGCTGAAAAAGGCTTTTCATGATCCACGCTGCGCCGCGCAGAAAGGCAGCCGGCTCCCGCGCCCGGGCAATTACGGCCGGCGGCGGAAGAACTTTCAGGGAAGGGAAATCACTAAATGCAGCAAAAGCCTGACAACCACGCCAAGAAAAGGGAGGAAAAAACTAAGCAGAACCGAATGATCGACACACTGTTAGAAGCTACTCGCTATAGAGGACACCAAAGACATCTGTAGAGAATACATGAATGTTGGACTTTTTACCCCCAAACTGCGCTTCTAATGAATATAAACTTACCAGAGAATAATATGTGAACGTGTGTGTGAGCCTCTGTGTGCGCGCGTGCGTGTGTCTGTGTGCATGTATACTTATCTAGTATATATATAAAAGAAAAAAAAACCCATCAAAGGGAGGGTAATAGCTCTTAAGTTATTTCTGTTGCTTTATGTTTTAATTTAAGAACTTTGTTTTCAAATAACCAGTACCAATTTACACATTAATAAAAATATATTAAAAATATGTATCTCTACATATTTATTCTTTCTTAAAAATAGTCAAAAAAAAGTTGTTGTGTGAGATGCTCCCTGTAGACTTTCCTGTCTCAACTTGCAGCTAAGTTTTTTTTAAAAATAAGGGAAAAAATAAAGAAGGAAAGAAGGGGGGAAAAAGTAAATCTGCAAATGAAATGTACATACCTGGGAATTGATAGCTGTAACTTGGGGCAAATCCAGGATATCCTCGGCCATACGTTGCAACAAAATTTGGGTAACCTTGATCACAGAAACGTAAAAATAAAATAAAATAGTAAAATAAAATAAAAGAGAGAAAGAGAGAGAGAGAGAGAGAGAGAGAAGTTTGAAGATTAGTAAGGGTTTTTTGTTTGATTTTAAATATAATGCAAAATTACATGGAGGATGGCTGAAACTCGATTTTACAGAAGCTACTGAAAAACAAGATTTACTCTCCTCATGCAAAACCACAGCAACATTTCATTATCAGCCTGAATAGAAACATCTAGAGATAGCCTGCTTTCCTGACCGCTTGCCTGCCTGCCGTGGTGCACGAGACCTGCCGCACACATAATTAACATGCACTTTGGTATCTGCAGCCCAAGGACTGTGCATACTTTTTAGCTGGAAGAGTAAATGCCAAATGCTAAGGCTAAACACATAACACAGGTTTGCTCTGACATTTGGAGAGCTTACAATGAATGTACTTTGCTTCAGAGCTATTGACAGTTGGAGATTAAGGTAGTAGTAATTCTTTATCCCAGGAGTGTGAAGGACAACAGTTAACACATCAAAGAGTTAGAGGCAGCAATAGCAATGAGCCAGAGTCAAAGAGCTTCTAATTTTTCAAGAAAGTAAAACTCAGACATGAGAACCGTTTCCTAAAGCAATTTCTAGGATACACACAGAAACACATCCAACCTCAGGCAGCTTTTGAAGTTTTATTGTGAGAAAAATACCATTCAAGACCATTCTGTTCACAAAAGTGCCTGAGTAATTGCATTAAGTAGCAACAGTGCCCACCTTAAGGTAGTGAATAGAAGTAAAAAACGATGTTGCTAAGAGGGCAAGGCCGTTCTGACGAGGGTGGACGCTCGAACGAGGCTGGGCTACGGCCACGAGTGCAGGTCTGCTCCAGCCCGCTCCCACCTGCAGCTAGCCCAGCCCAGCACGCAACCCACATGGGCGCCAGTGGGCTGCAAGAGGGCCACGAGCAAACATCTCATGAACATAGCTACCACCGCTCGCTTGCCTAACCAGCAGGTGCTCGGCCAAGAGTTGTACCGCGTTATGTAGTACACGTCTTGCCATGCACAGACCTATTGGTGCTCTTTGAGAGCCACGACAGGTGGGTGGGAGCTCCTCGGGAGGAGCACCCGCCCTGCAGCCTCCTGGAGCCAACAGCTGGCCATTCATGGGACCCTGGAAAGGATCCACGATCTTCAACACGCAGTGTTATACCCAGGGGGCATAGGGCATGGCCCATCAGAGACTCAGAGATTAAAAAACAGGTTCACTTCCAGCTGACTGTTCCAAGTGATTTTGCATTAAAATATGTACCAGTTCTATCTAGGCAACATCAAAATGTCTCCGAAAACCATTAAACATGCAAAGGCAGAGAGATAATTTTCTGCCATTTAGATAGAGAGGACTTCATTATCTCTTTGCAAGCATCTCTTGTCCGGTCCCTTGCTCAAATTGATGTTTAACAGTGAAGACCAGGCCGAGGAAGAGAGATTTTACTCTTATGGAAGAATTGAGGTTTGCTTACTTGCTAGAGGCCGAGCTAGGTAGGGTTTGTCAGCACTGCTGTGACAGGGCTACACGCATTGTCCATCTTTCACTTCTCGGCCCTGGTGCAGAACCCCCTCCTCCTCAGGCCCCACTAGGGCTGGGTCTTCTGGGACCGAATGCTGTTCTTTACCCTGTGGAGATCCCCTGAAATTGGACCCTCCCTCATGCTCCTCAGAGCCTGCTCGCTCACTTTGCTTAAAAACCGGAACTGCCCGTTCCCATCGCAATGCGATAAATGCCACAAAGCGTTGCCTTTGCGCATCAGTGCTCAACGGGCTGTCCCGATATCTTTTGGAAAATAACTCTCTGGACCAAAAAACTATCATAAAAAGTTTGTTCTCACTCCTTTTGAAGTCAACAGAAACCTCTGCAGTGACTATAATGGCAACTGGACTGGAACTTGAGCACATTTTTAACAGCTGAGTGACTCTTCCTGAAGTCTTATATCTCTGCTTTTATTTAGCCCTTAAAATACTAATACACTGTGTACAATTATTTTTGTGCCACAGCAAGTCCCTCCATTTCTGACTAGATTTATATACACATATAACTTACTATCATTCACAATCTAAAACGGGAAGATAAAAAATGCTCAGATGAATTTGGATTACTGGATTAAACAGCGTCCGGGAAGAGCGGGACGGCAACGCCAGCGAAGGAGGCCGCGGCTCCGAGCGGCCATGCACACGCGCCGGCCAGTCCTTGCATATTTATGGCACAGCTGGATTCCCTCAGAAATTAATCACTTCTGTCATTAAATCAGATCTTTCACAGGTAAGCTTTACAAGACTTTTTTCCTTTTTTTTTTTTCTAAAACAACAGTATTGATAAATGGATTGTTTGCTAAGTAAGTAGCGCCATTAACACCACCGTGAACCTCGCGATGAAAAATCACTGAGCAGCGCCCAGCCACAGACACCCTCCTCGGCGCGCTCCCCGGCAAAGCCCGCGTGCCCGGCGCAGCCGAGCGCACAGGGGCTAATCCCCATCGCCCAGCGCTCAGCGCTCCCTCGGTCGGGCAGATGAAATCATAAATTTATAATACAACATTACTTCAATTTTCCTCTTCATTTGCTGCTGCAGTGCCCAGCTCTGCTCTAACGAGTCCAAGCCCGACCTGCACAGGGGAAACTGGCTGGCTGAATATCAATAGCACATTAACACCATGCCCATGCGGATGCTTCATCAAGCCAAATTACGGCCATGCTGACCTACCCACCGTTTCCATTAGGTGCCATTCTCATCCTGCGTTGGGCGATGAACTATTTATTTGCTTCAGTACTCCTCGCAAATGATCGATCTCTCTAATTAGCTCTTGCTGCTAAACTAAAAATCAAAGTTTTGACTGGATTACCTCCCTCGAAGTGAGACCCTCCTGACCATGGAAGTGCAAACTTAAACCAACGGCAAAACTGCTTTCACCAACCACTTTTACTGAGCTCCCTACCGCACCGAAGAGAGCAGGACCTACACGTGCCACCTCGCCGACCGGGCGAGTCGCTGGCCGGGAGCGCAGCGCAGTGGAAACCTTGCCGAGACCCACACTCGCACCCGGCCAGATCCTCGCCCGGGCTGGAGCCTCCCGGGGCCGCGCTGGCCAGGAACGGGCAGTGCAGATGCACAGCACTGCCACATATCGCACCTTCACTTACAGTTTATTTAAGGGTATCACAACATGACCAGTATTAAAGTCCGTCATGGTGAGGGAACCGCTACAGGCGTTTTCCAAAAGGCAGAGCGGGGCGAACCACGCGGTCTGTATGCCTCGGGTGGGACGTTCCTCTCTCCGCCTGACAGCGCTGCTTGGAGACCGAATGCCCTGGCTGACCTTTCCCCAAGCGCCTCTGCTCTGTGCAGGCCCAGCGAGCCGGGAGCATCCGTACCGATCTGCCCTTCCTCTGTTACACCCGGGGGAAACCGGGGCCTCTAGCAAGAGAGCTGCTTGCCAGGGCAGCTGCAGAAAAGCTCTGGAAAGTCTCCTGCCCAAGCAGGCCTCCTGCCTCTGCTCTATCGGGATGAACGCCTCCATAGAGAGAAACGGCTTCTCTGCTCCACGAGGAGGAAGAGTCAACAGCCACAGAATCAGGCCATGGAAACGACTTTTAATTTTTAAGTAAGTTTTGGCCTGCAGGATGGTAGTTCGAGACAAACAAACCTCATGGTTAATATGTGAACACACTAAGCATGCCAGGGCCTGCAGATCTCTGCCCTAAAATTTAATTGAAATGTTCCAATCAATACGAGCAAATTATGGTCTCCCGATGCACCTCGGAGCAAGGAGCTCCAGGTTCTTTGCGATGACAGACGCTCTGACCTTTTCCCAAAGCTCAGTCCCATGCTACAAAAAAATATGTTCAGGGTATTTCAAAAGAAACTGGCTGTGATGTTGACATAAGAACCCACAGCACCAGGGAGTGCAGAGCAAAGAGCATCTCCCACAGGCACACAGGGGTGATCACATACGAGGGAGCAACCACAGAGAAGAAAAAACATCTGCTGTAAAAGTTTCTCCCTGGGTCAAAAAAAATTGATCTCTCGCTTACATCAAGGGAATTAAAAAGTTAAGCTACAAATGACTGCAGCTGCCTTCATCAGGGCGAAGGCGACGCGGGGTGCTGCCAGAGCAGCCCAGGATGGTTCTGCGCGTTCTGCAAGACTCCCAGGAAGCGTGTGTCTAGAAAAGGTTCCCCTTCCCTAATTCTGCCTCAGAGGCAGCTACTACTCTATTAAACAGAGTCTGATGGAAAAAAGGAATGACTTTCTTTGAAGGGCACTAGCTTCTTTTATGCATGAGTTCAGCCTACTAGATTGAACGTGTGCAGTAATGCAGAGCCCCGGTCTGGCTTGTGCAATGATATAAGAAGCCTGCTAGAGACTTACAGAAATTTCGTGCTTATATCAGACATTACTTCAGCAGTCTCGGGGTATAAGCTTTATGGGCTGAGCTCTCCTATCTCTGGAGAGGTCTGCAAGTTAAAAAGGGCCCAGCTTTACTATTAAACACCTGCATGTCTAAGATGCCCATCACTGAATGAAGTGAGTGCTGCAGGGCCCCAGCTCAGAGCAGTCAGTGCAGCAGTCACCTCCCAAACCCGATGTGACTGCCAGGACCGCCGCTCTGGCGGCTGCACCCTCCCAAACATACGGGGTGGCTTCAGATGGGAGAGCCAGAGAGGACCTGCTGTTAATGCTGCCCCTTGGTTACTTCTTTCCTTTTCTCTCGTTTTTCAAGTTTTCGGGATTAGCTACCAGGAGTGAAGCCTCTGGGTGCATTGCAAGTCTTAGGGCAATTGAACAACGGTTCCTATTCAGCTGAAAATGTGTGCGTTCCCTGCTGGGAGAGACACGGTTCCCATTCACAGGCATTCATGGTGCCGGAGAGGATGCCGAAGAGTCTCACCGCTCCTTCCTGTGAAGTGGGTTGCTAGGGAGAAAGAGATCGTTGGAACTGAAATCATTCCAGCTTGTTCTTTATGCAGAGTGGCTAATTAATGTTCCTAATCTCCCCTGAGAACGTGCACTTTCCATCAGCAGACAGCGACTGAGACAGCCCAGAAGCAGTCCTGGCAAAAGGCTCAGTCTGCCTGCGCTCTTGGAGTCACAAAATCCTTTTCAGAAGAACACTTTAATTTTGTTCCAATCAACCAAATCATCACAGAACGCAGCTGTCGATGTACCTTTAGACCCCGGTTGCTGCGGGATCCTCGGGGAGGCTATGATTAATGAAAAAGACCAACTTCCTTAATAGCTTTGGAGGAAGTCACTCTCCACTCTTTCCTTTGGGTTGTCTGGTGCGTTCTTGCTTCTGATTTCCTCCTCTGCCGGCGAACAGCATCTGGAGAAGGTGACCTTGAAAAAGGGCTTCTGGAAACAGGTATAAAAATCTTTCAAGAGCAGCTCCAATTCACTCCGTTTCAGCCCAGCTAAATAGCTAAACGAGTAACGGGGTGATTCTGACAGAGGCCTCTTGGGATCTTAACAAAATATTCGGCTACTTCAGAATCTCCCTCCGGCAATATGTTACTTTGTACGCCTCATTGTTTGATGGGTTAATTATGCCCTTCTCCCTCCCAGGGACAGGGCCTCACTGCTGCGCCGTTGCCAGGGCTGGGGAAGGAAAGATGCTGGCTCCACGCTGAGACTTTGCTGATGTGCCCAGTTTCCAGCCTTGAAGTGAACCCTTACAGGCAACCTTTGAAAACGGGGATTTATAATGGCCATTCAGACAGCCTTGGACTTGTGTGTTGTAATTTTGTTATTTAGCACTTAATTATTTAACACGGTGCCACTGTAGCAAGCAGGAACTTGGAAGATGAAAAAAACAGCCAGAGCAGATAATTAAGCATCTGGCCTTCAACACGAATCAATCATTAATTCTGAGCAAGTCGCTCTGATTTGAAATCTAGTAAGATCACGTTAAGAGTGAAAACCAGTGGAACAGAACCAGTTTGGCTGACCTAACGAAGGCAGGCACCGCCACGCCTGATGGATACCTGCGTAGCAAGAAAACCATTTGCCAACACACACCAACATCGCTTGCTTCCCGCAGGAACGGGTACGCTCGCTGAGACGTCCTTTCGTTACTTCTTAAAGTTTAAAACAACCTTCTTCCAAAGAGGCAGTCCCAGTGAGAACCCATCATGGGACGTCTGCGGGCTGAATCCTCCTCTGAGGTCCCGGGGTGGACCCTGGCTCTGCAAATTTCTCTCCACCTTTATTGCTCTTCGCTCCACCGAGAGCCAGACGGTACAGTCAGTGTTTGCAGTGCTGAGCAGAAGAGGGGTTTTGCCCTTGGTCCTTTTGCCTGAACCAGGGCTCCACACTCTCTGCTCTGCAAGCGGCTGCCTTGCACGAGTAGTTAGCAAGGCTGCACACAACCAGCTCCCAGAAACCAGAACTTAAGACACCACAAGAATAAGGAAAAAATAAATAAGGAAAAAATATATGCTCAAGCACACTGAGAATATACAAGTGATAGAATAACAGACTTCTTAGAACAAGCTGAATATTTTAACCCTAAAATGTAACCTCCAAACGCTACAGGGAGGGTTGGGGGGGAGAGAACGATGGGACAGAAAAATAGATGATCAGCTGAAATAACTGAATTATAACATCCCAGAAATGGATTGCTCCAGCCACATGAACAGCATTACTATTAATTCAGAGATAAAGCAAACATGGCAGGAAAGTTTTCCCCATCAAAGTACGTCGCCTGAAGTCAGACACCTCAGTGTAACAGCCTGATTTTCATAGGAACTAAATACTCTGACCTTACGCTGAATTCAGAAAGCCTTGCGGGTCTTTCAGCCTCTCCAGCAGTAAAGCTGCTTATGGATCTGCTCTGCCGAGCTCAGTAGTACTACGGATGCAGCTTTCAAGGCTTGTTTTTGTGCTCAGCTTCTCGGAGCATCTAAACTTTAGAAAATTTCATCTTCAAAAACTTAAGTGTGTCTTGCTTACGAAGCACTAAATGAAAAGGCTTGCTGGTGCAGTCGATGTTTTACTCTTTCCACGGATGGATTTGCCAGAGATTATGACTTTCTCTTGACAGCAAAGTCCAACACTCTCTTCACGGGCTGGTCCCAGCAGAGCTAAAGATGCCCCGTGACGTACCTACCGGCTGGCTCCATGCAGAAGCGGCCTGCAACAGTGTCTGAGGACCTTCTGCCCCTCCCTCCTTCTGCTAAAGGCAGCAAGTGTCAACATTTCTCTTATTCTCTTCTGACTGGGATATACAACAACCAGTGTTCCCCCGGTGACTATTCCTAACGCCGATATTCAGCAGCCCAACTGTTCAAAAATCAGGAGTCAGGCCCTCCAAAAGTCACTGGCTTGGCCTAAATACCTTGACTTCTGTTTTTAACAACAATTCACCACAAATGGTATCAGTCTTGTTCTGTCTTTGGCTTTGGGGACTTTAAAATGACCAATTCCAAGCTTGCCCCATCACCAGAGCCTGGGCGGGAGGTGGGACCGGCGAGGAGATGCAAAGTCAGCCGGGAGGAGAGCGCAGCAGGCTCACCTTGGGCAGGCCTGGGCGAGGACACCGGAGGAGCCGGCGGTGTTAACACCCCTCTCCTGCTGATGGGTGTATTCCAGGGAACAGCTCCGGTGGGAAGACAGGAAAGAGGGAAAAGGCTCCGGACTGCAGACACAGCCCAACTGCTCCGCCACGGGGCTCTGACATCCCCGACCCCTCTCCTCAATCGCCAACCCGCCTTCCCAGGGACAGAGCATTCAAAGCACCCAGCAAAGGCCACTTCCTAAGGACCCCAGGCTAGGACAGGCTTATTTCTGCCTGGGAACACCTCCAAAGACCCTCTCGTCCATGCACGCTTCACAGACACGGCAGGTGACAACCACGAGATAGCCCACTACCGCAAAGGGAGCAGGTAGCTGAAAACACATGAAGTTTATAAAATCATGTTGGCAATGGGTTAGCAGCATTTTGGCTTGGCAAATCTGAGGACAGCGTACCAAGAGGCTGTCAGATTATACAGAAAGAACTATCTAGGCTGAAACAAATGAGAACCAATTATAACTAAACAGACCTCACGCACAAATGGAACTTTGCGATTAAGTATCATTTATCCCATTTAATTAGTATTTTCTGGACACAATACTCCGGACTAAAATACTGTTCCATCTCCTTGAAACGCGTAATTATTGTTGCGACCTATACTGTTACGCATCTCCCTGCTTTCTCCATCTTGCATGCCATTTAAGAACCAGCAAGATTTTCAATTATCTATGCCGAACTGTCAAAGATACCTTTAAAAGAAGGGGAATAATGTGTGACTCAATTCCTCTAAAAAAGGGGAGAGATCATTTTTAGTCAGAATGAACACACTGCATCTTTCATCATTCTATTTTTGTGAGTAAAACAGGCTATTTAAGACAACCATTTAAATGCAAATTTTTATATTCCAGGAAGGGAGGGAGTTAATCATTTACCACAGACAGGATTATTTTCCCCTTTCCACCCCTGCTTAAGTTTTAGACTCGCACCCACACAAGCGCAGAGCTTTGCTCACCACTATGCCTTAAGCGTTCACAAACGAGGGAGACAGACAACACAGGAGCTGCTCGCTCCGCAGCCGTGGCCATTGCACACTTACCCAACATTCCCATCCCTAGCATAAAAGCGTCCATGGTATAGGGTAATCCACGTGCCCTTCCTCTCGTCCCTGGTGGAAACATCACTTCTTTAGGTTGTGCTTTCTTACATTCTACCTATTGAGCAGAAACATGTACAAATGAGATGCAAATGAATTCCATGTAAATGTCAAATGCAGAACTGAGCTAGTTAAGGGGGGAGTTTTATTTTTAGCATTTTCCTCCCCACTCCACCTCCCCCGAAAGGTGAATTTTAAGAATAGTGTAAACGGATTTAAAAGAGTAAATGTGTATGTCTCTTTAAACACACATAGCAAAAAACACCGTAAAGATGACAAAAATGCCGATTTAAGAAGTTGCTGCGTTCCTGAAAGGAAAACCTGGGCTGTGTTTACTCTCAATGATACTTTGCGGGCGTGGGATGAATGGAGGAAAGTCCTCAGCACAGCTCTATTACAATCGATAACAGAAAACGACTCTTGGTGATCATTACATAAAGCTCCTTTTAAAATAGGAATAAAGAATCAATATTTCTACCCAGCAGAAAATTTCTGCAAACCCTACTAACAAATGATCTGCATTCTTTCACTCCCAGGTACTCCTGCTGCCTTTTGAAGTTTCTTAATGCCATTTTAATCCCGTTACAAGGCTCCAGCCAGCGCTCTGAGAGACCTTACCACCACGCGCCTAACCGGCAGCACAGGACAGCACCTGCAACCCGCGCAGCGCGGGCCCGGCCCGCGGCCCGGAGAGGCCCAACCTCCCTGTACGGCGCTGCTTCGCAGGCTCCTTCTAGATGGGAAATGGGAAAAATAAAGCAGTTTTCCATGCTCGGCAGGTCTGGCCTTTCCCTGTTCCCTCGTGCCCCCTCCTGCACTAACTGCAGGCGAGAGCCGTGCTCGGGAGCCCGGCTGGACCAAGCTAAAAGTGTCCCAGCCCAGCCCACCTCTACGTCTCTACACCTTCATCCTCATCCTCAGCAAAAGGCAAACGGTGCAGACACGTTGCAGCCCTGCACGCATCGAGATCCGCTGGTCTGACGGCAAAGGTCTCGGCTGAACCTGGAGGCCTGGGCTGGATGCCCCCACGCTGGTTCCCCGGCTCCTCGTCCTCGTTGCGTGTCCCCTTCCCTCCCGGGCCTTCTCTGCCCAGGCTAGATCGAGGACAGAAACGCACCAAGGCCGGGGCCGTGTTCCCTGGGTTACACATTGGCATGGTGCACGCGGCCCTGCTGCCCTCAGGGCAACCCCTTGTGCCTGACCCGCCGCTGGCGCAGCAGGCAAGGACGGGGTGCTCCCGGCGTGCAAATGGGCAACGGCACCAGCCCAAGGCAGGCAGGGAGGATAATATGGCTAAACGTCTCTGCTCCTAATAGCCCGATCAGTGACTGTGTACTCGCTGTCTTAGGAAAACCAACCGCCTGTTCCTAGGCAACCTGATCAGTAAAAATTTCAGGTTTATACAATTTCCATTTAGGTAACATAAAGGTTAACTGACTGTAATGGGAGTATTTTAAACAAAACCACCTACTCCTCCCCTTTCTGCTGCAAACCTCATGGCAGACCGTATTTACTTAGCTCGCTCGCAACACTTCCCCAAGCTACAATGCTCAGATACAGCCAGTGTTGTCAAAACACGCACTTCTCGCAAACAAACTGCCAGAATCTAATGAAGTTTGGAGTCAAATTCTTCAACAGTTCAACTTCTGTTACTGTTTTGCCAAGTGTTTGGGTCATTACAGGAATTAACGGGAGAAGGGCTGAGAGGAAAGAGCGAGCCGGAAGGATTTGCTTCTGGGGTCTGCGGGTTTACACCACGCAGAGCGAGGAGACCTAGGCGGTGCCTCCGCAGACCCCGCTGGCTCCTCGGCTGCGCCACGAGCGACCTGGCCAGCGCGCCCGGGGGCTGCCATGGGAAGGCACATGTGCAAAATCCCAGCCGGGGCTCCCTGTCTTCCACCCTGCCCTCCCGCTTTGCATGCACGCACACACACACGCTTGTGCTCACCCGCGTGCACACAATCTCACACGCACACGTGCAGCTGCTAGCTCATAACGCCGCAGGCTGCATTACTGAGAGAGACCCAGTGCCTGATTGTTCATTAAAATAAAGAGAGAAGGAAAAGGAAACAGAAATCTTCCCACTGATGATTTCAGCGAGCACTAACTTGTCCTGAGGGCACCAAGGCACATGCCAACGGGCCAAGGGAACTGAGGGCACAGCACGGTGGAGGCATGAAGGCTGAGCAGGAACACCTGCGTGCAATGCTCAGGTCCATCATGGATGGGGATGGGATGCCCACGCGGCCCCGGGACACCTGCGCGCAATGCTCAGCTCCGTCACGGATGGGGATCAGGATGGGACATCCACGCAGCCTCAGGGCAGGAGGGAGCTCCTGCCCTCCAGTCCGCTTCCTTGTCCCGCAGGAGAAGCCACTCAGCCCATGTCCTTCCTGGCCTGAGCAGGAACGCCTGCGTGCAATGCTCAGGTCCATCATGGATGGGGATGGGATGCCCAAGCGGCCCCGGGACACCTGCGCGCAATGCTCAGCTCCGTCACGGATGGGGATCAGGATGGGACATCCACGCAGCCTCCAGTCCGCTTCCTTGTCCCACAGGAGAAGCAACTCAGCCCATGTCCTTCCTGGCAAATGCTTTCTATGCCACTTATACAGCCCTCCAGGCATCTGTCCAGCAGGGCCCTGTAAAATCACTACCGTGGAGCACTGCAACCACCGCACGAGAGCAGGGGCTGCGGGGAGAGCCGCGCGGGGGGCGACGGCGGTACGCGACGGCATGGAAACCCCCTCCAGCCCCTGCAAGGGCTGACTCGTGCCTCAGGGCAGGGAAATAAGCTTTGGGAAGACATTGAAAACATCAAAGGGCCTGTACTAAGCAATTGTGAAACTCGAGCGTAAGCGCTGCTATCATCGACCAAACCTCCCAGCGCGTTGGCCGGGAGCTCTAAGCCCAATTGCAGACGGTCGGCGTTCAGGCTAATTGCGTTCTGCGCCCTGCTGCCCCTGCCCTCGCCAAAACCGCCGTGCCCCCGAGGACAACACGCTGCAAGCCCAGCAGCCTGGCGCTACTTCCCTTCGTCTCCTTAAACTCCTTCAAGAAGCATGCGCCTTAAATGAGCTAGAGCCGCCGAAGAGAACCGCCGGCCTCCCTGATGACTGCCTCCCGCACCAGACAAAGCCATTAAGCGATATTCTCTGAATCTTTCCTTTGCTTATTTTTAATCAGAGGGAGATGTTTACCAGGAGTATGCCACTCGACAAATCAGAGCCATCACCAGAAGTGTATCGTTTCATTTCTCAACATTTGCTTCAAGTCCGGCACTGCTCCAAATGCCACGGAGCCATTGGTCACACCTCAGAGCCACCTTCCCTGCAAACACTCGCAATGATAAAAAGCCTCTGGCCCACTCCATGGACAATTAACAGGAAAATGAAGTTTGGATTAGCACCCTTAGAAACAATAACCCAGTAATTAGCTTCTGCAACCACAGAACAGACTACCGCTGCTCTCTGAAAGGCTAGCTTAATTTACGATTTTCACAGCACACAGGGATATAAAGAGAATGGTAGTGAGCTGCAAAGACGTTTTAACTCAGATTTAAAGGGGAAGAAAAAGCCACCAGTAGGAAAGAAAAATAATTCCTAAGCCTTTGTAAACAAATATACCCCATATGGAGAGCTCAAGTATTCTCCCTGATGCAGGAGAGAGGCACCCTCGGCGCGAGGGACC